TTCTGAGCTGTGAATGAGATGACAGGGAAGGAGAAGGAAGCCGGGGCTGCAAGGAGCAGCTTGCATATTAGGAAAAGCCTGACCTGTGATGCGTAGCTGTTGGCAAATGGAGTTGTCTCAAATCTACCTCAGAGGCCATCTATTGCTGCAGACCACTTTCCCCTCTTGCTCCTGCCCGCTGCCACCTGTACCTGGTGGTGGTGGGAGATTCATGGGAACTCCAGATCCCACCGGTTCAGTCCCTTTCTGCCTCTTTGCTGGGGAGCAGCATCTCCTGGCCAGGGTTTCATGGGTCACTGCTAGCTCGCTGAACTTCTTTGGGGTGCCCTGCACCGGTCTAGATGTGGTTGACGTGCAGCAGATGGGCACCTCTCACCCCACAGCTCTCCTGGGGGGCAGTTTTTCTAGCCAGGCTTTGCTGTTGGTGCCTCTTGTGCAGCGAAGCCGGCTGTAGCTTTGATTCTCCTTCGCTGTGGCAGGAGCAGGCGAGTGATGTGTTCCCTTGGCTGGGTGAGAAGAGGGGGCACAGGTTTGTGGGGAGCTCAGGTGTTCTTCAATAGGCAAGCCAGGATTGAGGTCCACCTTCCTTGCAGGTGAGGGAGGTACGTGGTCCTTGGTGTGCCTCTTGCTCAGCCCTTCGGGCAGCTGAACTCTTGTGTCTCTCCGGGTGCAATTCTAGCTGGAGGCTGGCGCAGTCCTTCGCATCATTCGTGTTTTGGGGAGTGGGTGACAGTTGATTTTCTGCCCTTCTGAGTTGGGTCAGGTTTGGTTTTTTTTCCTCCTTCTATAGGTGTCTCTTCTCCTTGTTAAGCCCAGAGGCTTAACTTAATGCTGGGCACCAGAGGGAGAAAATGTGCAGGGACAGGAGGACAGTTGGTCAAATTCTACTTGTTCCTCCATCCCCACCACGTCTAAGTCCTAAACAAGAGATGTCAGCAGGACTCTGGGAGAAGGATTCCCCCTTTTTCAGGGGAACTGAGGAAGGAGACTCTGGAGCAGAGCCCTTGGTGGTACTTGCGATTGCTGCTCGTAGCCCTTGCTGGGTAGATAATACCCATTTTTGCTCAGAGGCAGTGATAGTACCTACAGTGCAATGTGATGAGAGAGGAGAAAAGAGCTTTATGTTAAGGAGGGTGTGGAAAAGGTCTAATTAATGTGAGAGGTTTTTCCTTTCTCCTGCCTCTTCCCATCCCCAGCCATCCACTGCCACGTGCCCTCCGGGAGCGACTGCTGGCTGGCATCTCTCCAGAGCCTCAGTCAGTCCTTCCTCGTAGCAGCTGAGATATTGACTCTGTTAACAGGTGACACATACAGTCTCCTAAAAAAACTGGCTGCTGAATGATTTCTCCTCCTGCCTCCTTCGCTTCAGGCAGCTTTTCCACTTGCACAATCCTCTGTCTTCGTAATGAAGTAGCTAATTAGGCTGCGGGTCCCAAGTGCCTTACGTTGCCGCGTAGTCTCTCGTGTGCTGGATCTGTGTGCTGCACCAGTAGCTGAACATCCTCCCTCTTCACAGTGTGTGTACAACATACACTGCATTTATGTGGGTTTTTTGGTTTTTCTTTTTAATAGAGCTACGAGTAAAAGGGACAGTTTGTTTTGGAAGCATTTCCATGTGTTCTTTTTTTAATATTTCTTTTTTTTAACCTATAGATGATGGGGCTTTTTTTTTGCCCTCCCTTATCTTTAGTCCTCAGAAATCCCACGTTTTTCTCTATTGTGCCCAAATGTGGCGGGGGGGGGGGGTTTGTTTGTTTGTTTTGTTTTCTTGTTTGTTTGGTGGGTTTTTTTGGGTTTTTTTGAGCTGAGCCTTTGCTGGAAGGCAATACGTGCTGTCATCCCAGAGGTCTGCAATCTCCCCTCCATTGGAGGGGCTGCCACAGGCTGCTTCTGTCTTTGTCTTCTAGTGCAAACACCATCCCTTGGCTGCAAGCTGCAGTAACTGCTTCCATGTCCCATGTCATTTCTGAGCAGACCGAACCTTCTCTTCAACCCAAAGAGCTTTTTCTTTCCCAAAAGGAGTATTTTCATTGCAAGCCCTTAGTGGTCAATCTTTCCTTGACCGCTCTACCTACAAAGATGCCGTGAGTCCACTTGCTTTGAGTGGATGCTCTTCTGGTGCCTCATCTTGTCAAGCCCTGTGTCTTCTGCAAAAAAAAAAGATCCAACCCCAAGCAGGAGGTTTTGTCCATCACAATGCAGAAGGTGTTAAGAGACTATGCAAAGCTGAAAGTCTTTACTTTTAGTGTAATGCTGTTGCTTGCACCCTTCCTGTGGACTTGAGACTGCTTTTGTAGTCTGTGTCCATTATCCAACCGAAGGAGGTTGGGGATTGAGTAGTCTATGATTTTTTGGTGTGAAGCATAGTGTTTTCCTGCCCTCAGTGTAGAAGAGCTGTGAAATACCAGCGGTAGTTCTTTTCTTTTTGTCTTAGATAGTTGGGGAATGGGCTTGGGAGGAGAATGGGGTGGAGGAAGAACAGATGTAGCATTTCACATTTAATTTTTGATTGACTCTTATGGGGCATTACAGTTGTGTTATTTTGTTGTTGTTGTTGAAGATTCGTTCTTCTTACTCATCATGTTTGGGTTTGTAGTAAAGAAGACAAGTTCCAGTTTCCCTGTAGGTCCCCTTACCCTTAACTCACCATTTTAAAATGTATTTTTGGTAGGCTTCCTGGTTGGAGAGAAGAATAACTCCTCTAGGATGCCTCCCCCTTGCCTCCAAGTGACTCTTGAAGCCTGTAGATACGTTGCCTTTACCGCAGCGCTTGGGGGTTTACATCAGCCTCAGTCTCTTGCCTTAGGTGAAGTCTTGGTAGATGGAGCCCAACTTGTATCAACAGTAGATGGAGATTGTGGGGTTTGATTTACAGCCCTTCTGGTAAATTTTGTGAGGGTGTCACAGATGGTTTGGCAAACTTTGTACTCAAACAAGTGTGGAATATGTTACTTCGCCTTGGGGCTGCACGTGGGGTTTTGCTGGCAGTGGGGCTGGTGGAAAAGCCAGGCAGAGAGGCAGGTAGTTTTTCTTTGAATATGTTGAACTCTTTGAACCAAACTTCAGCAAAGGAACTCGAGAAAAAATTTCTGTTCTTCCATATTTATGCTTTAGTGCAAATTTCCTCATTTTGGAGGGGGTTGGGGGTTGGGAGGGGGAAGTAAAAGTCTCTGGTATTTTACCTGTTTGTTTCATTCTTCCTGACACTTCAATTTTTGTACGGATTTTGTTTGTTGTTGTTTGTTGTTATATGACTTTTGTGATAAACTCAACAAAAGTATTTTTCTGAAATAAATAAATAAAATAAAAGGCATAGATTCTTCCACTGCTGCTCTCCACTGATGCTTTATCACTCTGCTAAGCTGTATGCGTTTCCAAAGCAGTCTGCAAGGGGTTCTACTTGTCTCTCTCTTGCCATACCAGACTAGTCTGTTCCCTTTGGGTGAAACATCTTGTGTCCTCGTATTCCCTGCAGCTGGGGTTCATCTTCTCACATTTCCCATGTCCACAGCATAGGCAGCTGCTTCTGAGTGAGTTATCTGTGGGCTGCCTTCATCGTTGGGAGTGGAGGATAAGGGCATTTGTAGGATATGATTTATCTGATGTGGTTTAAGTGCATGTTTGAGGGTGAGCTGAATTGTATACTTTCAGCAGCTGGCCCCAGGCTGAATATTGGGTTACAGTTTCGTAGCATGTGCAGAAAACAGTTTCTGATTTTCTTTTCTACAGTTCCAGTTAATTTAATCTGTAAGTTTTTTGGTCTCTGGAAAAAACTGATTAAAAGATGGCCTTTAAAAGTTATCCTTTGTCAGGATCAAAAGCAAAGCACCTCATGCAATGCCAAGCCAGGCTTTGAAATCCGAGGTGGACCTGAGAAGAGCTGTAGCAATTCTCAGTCAGGGTGAGCAGCAGAACAAACGGGCCCAGAAAGAGCGGTGACCTTTCTGAAGAGGCAGGAGGGAGCTGTCATGTGGAGACTCTCAGCTGTCTGAGGGGAAGTGGGAATCCACAACACAAAAGCTGATTTAAATAAGCATTTTGTTCCAAAGAGCTTTGTTCTCTGCTGTGTGTACGGTAGCTGCCTTTCATGTCTGCTCAGTGGCAATACCTGGCAGGTGTCGTTTGGGGTGAGAAGGTCCCTGCCACCTTTTACCTTCATGGAGAGATGAGCAATGTGACTCTGGAGTGGAGCACAAGTGTCATAACTCTCTATTGCTATGCCAACTGCTAGTTTTCCCTTTTCATTGGTCCTGTCTGGTTAAGATGACAGGTTGCATTAAGATGGGTTTAGATAGTATCTCAGTCCTAAAACCATTCTCACAACCTTCTGATAAATAACGTGAAGCTGCTGTTGGCAGATTTGTGTACAGACAGACCCCTGCTATCTCCAGAGCGATGTGAGAGCTAAACTCATCCCTCCAAGTAAACCCAGAATCGTAGTTTTGTAGGGTTTTTTTCCCTTTTGTGGGGTTTTTAGTCCTTAGTTATTCCAGACATTGAGGTACTTGTATTTAAAGCAGCTTTATTAACACTTTTATAGCACCTATGCATGACTTGCTTACATTCAGACTAGCAAGTGTGAGTTTATTGTGGTCCATGGCAGGGCTCTTAGCTCTTCTTGTGAGGCAAATAACAATTTAAACTGGCAGTCTTTGCTGTGAAAGGCCCCTTTTCAACTCTGTGAGAGATATCTAGAGTGGTTGTCACTCCAGGCTTTAGAGAGCTTTACCTCTAGCAAGCCTTACTGTACTGCATTAAAAAGTTGGGAGATCAACAGGAGAACTTGGCTTTGTTCTCTGAAGTTTCTTCTCCTGTGAATCATTTCAATATCCAGCAGTTGTGAGGTTGAGGTTGGTGGTAGTTAAAGGGCAGGGAGAGGTTAGGAAAGGAAAGAAAAAGTTAAAGTGAGGATGAAATGAGCTGGCTCTGGTGAGGAGGGGAAGGAGAGAGGGAGTGAGGTAAAGGTGAAGGCTAGAGCATCCTTTTTGAGGTACAGTGTCTTAAAGCCAACTCAGCTAAGAATTTTATTGCTGGTCTTGTGCTTCAACTCCTGGGTGCAGATCACAAGGGGAAGGCTTTAAGGAAGTTATGGTAGTTTATCTTGTTTTCTCCACAAGAACAGAGGTCAATCAGCTGCGGGAAAAGAAACCAAAACAAACATCATAAAGAACTGGAAGAAGCTACAAATATATATATATTATTTTTAAGGAGAAAGTGCCCAGTACTCCTTGTGTGACAGAGCAGATGATCTTATTCCCCTGTGTGGAAGAGCCTGCCACCTCAGTAGTCCTGAATCACAGGTGACCTTGAATGCTTATAGGTGACACTAATCTATACAAGGAGAAGAATTAAAGTGTTTTGAGTTTAATCCTGATTGTCTTCCAAGTATCACCACAGTGGCAATAGATCCAGAAAAAAAAATAAAGGATTGCCACAGACTGACACAGGCCACAGCAAATCTTTCAGGAACCCTTTAGGAATCCCTGTCAAAAATGAGATGAGGGAAGCATCTCTGAACATTTACTGTTGACTGGTGTCACTTTGGTGTGTGCACATGGCATAAAGTGGAGGCACAGATAATGGAGCTCAGTGACAGCCCTGCTAATGAGCCAGTTCTCGTATCCATCCCTGACCCTGCATTGTGTTACAGAGCTACAACCTTTGTGTGCTTAAGGGGAAGAAAGAGGGGTTTTGTTTCTTTAATTGCATAACTAATCTCTTTCTGACACCCAGGGAGATGGAAAAGGTCTAATATCACAGTTCCTTGAAAGGATTCTTCTTCCCCTTGTCGCCTGGTGACAGATTTACTCGGCTTGCTCTTGTGTGACTGACAGCTGTGTTCCTCTCCAACCCAGACAGTAGTTAACTGTGTTTAATTTATAGCACCACCACACTTCTGAGGGCTCTGACCACACTATTATTAAGATTTCAAGAGTGAAGAGAGATGCTTTTAGTGTTTAGGTCCTAGATGGTGTTTCAGACATGGGAATTCAGCCTCAAAGTGTTCCCCATACGCTATTGGGCACATCACTTTGTCTCCCATTCTCAGAGTGGGAGCAGGAAAGACTGTCACCACATTGTAAATTCCTCAGGGCAGAGTGATCCCCGACAAGCTCTAGTACAGCATAAGCCCTGAATGCTGCTCAAAGGTCTTTATTCACTGCACTTTCAGAGACATAAATATCCTGCCTGTGCAACTTCCTAACCACAGCTGTGATGCTCACGGTTGGCTGGTTGAAAAAATGTGGGGTTTTTTTAACAAGGGACATATTCCCTCTGGTTTCTAGATTTCTTTAAACCCTGAGTCTGCCTTTATTGGCCACTAACCTACTGCATACCACGTTATGCTAAGAAAGCATCCTTGCCAGTCATATTCCTGAAAGGATCCTCCATCCCTGCTGCATTAATTCTTCTCCTCAGTTTCCCTCACATTTTCTGCTAGGCAGACTGTGATCTCCATGTGCTGGTGCTCATAGTGCCCAGCCAGTCTGTGTTTTAGTTGAGTGAATCAAATGATTCTGATTTCTTTTTTTTTTTTTTTATACTTAGTTCTCAAACCTTCAATTCAGTTGCTGTTAAATCCAGAATGTATCTAAGCTTTCCTCAGTCTGATTCCATAAGCACCTCATTGTCATCTCAAGCCCAGGTGTGCTTAAGTCACAACAGATGCTCAGGAACTCTGCAGTAGCCTCTGCCTGATCTCTATCATGATGTACAACTTTTTCTGCTCATCTCTCAGACCTGAGCCTGGCATTTTCAGGCTTCATATAATGGTAAACCCAATTTAAGGGGCAACCTGGGTAACATTTCTTCCCTTTACATAGAGGACAGCGATTATTATCTCCTCCTTGAAAAGACAGGCTCAGTCCAACAGCTCAGAGGCCCTTCTGAATTGGGACTCTCTTGCCCTTTTCACAGAATCACAGAATGTCAGGGACTGGAAGGGACCTCAAAAGATCATCCAGTCCAATCCCCCTGCCAGAGCAGGAACCTAAATGAGATCACACAGGAAGGCGTCCAGGCGGGTCTTGAATGTCTCCAGAGAAGGAGACTCCACACCCTCCCTGGGCAGCCTGTCCCAGGGCTCTGGCACCCTCACTGTAAAGAAGTTTCTTCTCAAGTTTAAGCAGAACCTCCTGTGTTCCAGCTCACACCCATTGCCCCTTGTCCTACCATTGAGCATCACTGAGAAGAGCCTGGCTCCATCCTCATGACATTCACCCTTTACATATTTATAAACATTAATTAGGTCTCCCCTCAGTCTCCTCTTCTCCAAGCTAAAGAGCCCCAGCTCCCTCAGCCTTTCCTCAGCAGGGAGATGCTCCACTCCCTTCATCATCTCTCCTTTGTAAGGTTGCCCTGGCTAGGGTTGGTTTTTAGAAGAGCTCATTTGAAGAACCATAGGAATTCAATATCCACAGCATCCCTTCCTTCTGACCTTGTTAACCAGTAAGATGTTGGTTGGCACGCTCAAGCTGTCACAAAGGGCTAAAAATTTTGCTTTGTCCAAGAAGCCAGAGCGATCCTTGTCACACTGAAAAAACGCCTCCCAAATTTTCTTGTTGTTCAACTTATGGAGCTTCAGCTCTTCCTGAACCTGCACAATTAATTCATCCAGTCCCTGCCTGTTGGTCCCAAGCATGGTGATGTCACTGTAGAGGAAAGGAAGAACAGGATTTCATGTGAAAGCTACTTCTGGCAGCTTTACTGTGACACGTGTCTGCTGGCTGCTCACCATGGCTGGCCAGACTGTATTTCTGAATAGAATCACAGACTGGTTTGGGTTGGAAGGGACCTTAAAGATCATCCAGTTCCAACCCCCCTGCCAGCAGCAGGGACACTTTTCACTAGACCAGGTTGCTCAAAGCCTCAATAGACAGCAGGCTTCTGAGGTGCTTGGTTTTTATGGCAAACCCATCTTGGCTCGGACTTGGAGATGAAGCTCAGTCTCGATCTGGGAGCGTTAGGTAAACTATTTTCCCTTTGTGGACCATTTCCTCCATGCAGCTTTTGTCTGCAAATACTCTGGGATGAGGAACATTTCCTTGTGTGCTCCAGATAGTCCCAGGAACTGTATGCAACTCTAATTTCAACCAGAGCCCCTGAACTACCATGATACTAAATGACTCCAAAGTGTCTTGTGAGTTAATAGGGTTGTTACTGGGTCACCCAAAATGGGTCTGGACAGCTAAAAGAGAGGATGTGGTCTAAGCTCTGATGGGCTGATAAGCACAGCCAGAGCAAATGAAAAAAACCTCCACCAATTCTCCACTGAGCCTGCAACTGTCTAGTAGCTCATGCAGATACTGTTAGCAGCATCTGTCAGAGGTAACTGCTGTCTTTTGGGGACAGATGACTGTGTCCATTTAGCTGAAAGTATCTCTGCTGCTGAGCCAGAGCTGTCACGCAAGGTTTTTTGGGTCAGCAGCAACCATGACAATATATTGTACACACTTGCCCTGCTCTGTATGTGTCCAGACACAGGCTCTTGGAGCTGAATAATCAGCTGAGCAGCCATTAGACAGCAGACAGGAGCCCATGGAGGCTGCTAGAAATGCCCTTAGCTGTCAACCCTGAGTCTTATTTAGTTCCACAACGGCATCCTTTGAAGCTTACCTGTTGGCAGTTTCCTTCACCACCTGTCGTGGGTGAAAATGATCCCTCAGGGACTGCAGCGTTGCCTCAGGGAAACTCTCTGCGTTGCTCTCCATATAATTAAGCACATATTTATCAGCATCAGTGATAACAAACCTGTGGCCAAACACTGGGGAAAGAGACATTAAAGCAAGCAGTGTTAGTTGCCTTTCAGCGTGGGTAAGTCACTTCATCATCCACAAGGTTTCTCTCTTGTGGCTGGGCTCAGGTTTGAGCGAGCTCTGCTATTTGTTTCAGCCCTTGAAGTGAGAATTGTTTCTCTGACTCAAAGGGATTTTTGCTGCAAGAAAAGCAGCTGCTGAGAGCAAAGGCCCCATGCTTGGGCCTACAGTGACTCCCCTGTTAGCACAAGTGTGTTTCTAAATATTTCAGTGTTACCTTAATTTTCTTTACAAGATAGACTGATGGCCCTTGCTGCTGGTAGCCATCTGGCATCGCTTTAACCCTGTGAATCCTGGCAGGACTCAGAATATAAAATGAACGTATAGAATCATAGAATAGTTTTGGTTGGAAAGGACCTTAAAGCTCATCCAGTTCCAACCCCCCTGCCAGCAGCAGGGACACCTTCCACTAGATCACGTTGCTCAAAGCCTCATCCAACCTGGCCTTGAACACTTCCCAGGAGGAGCATCCACAGCATCTCTGGGCAACCTGTTCCAGTGTCTCACCATCTTCTGGGTGAAAAATTTCCTCCTAATATCCAACCCAAATCTCCCCTCTCTTAGTTTAAAACCATCTCCCCTTGTCCTATCAATATCTGCCCATGTAAAAAGTCACTCTCCCTCCTGTTTATACTCTAAACTCCATATAGACTCCATATACTATGGAGAAGGTAACTCTTTTCCTAATTAATGTCAAAGGTCCAAACATTGACAGTAACAGTGATATCCGTGTACATCAGCTGGTGATCTTGAAACTCAAATGTGATGAGAGCCAGAAGGAACAGATCTTTCAAGGGAAGAAAGGTGTGTGCACTGTCTGTGCAATAAATGACACATCAGAGGAGGCACTGATAGCCAATGCTCTGAGAGTATTATCGATCCAGGCTGGATTTTACCTTCAATTGTAGAACCAATGGTGAAGTCAGAGGGCTCATAGTATGTCATATTCTCTGTAGTAGAACCTGGCTTGGGGACTCTGGTCTTTGCTAAATATTTGCCTCCAATGATGCCAGAGTTAGGAACTGAGGGTTCGTAGATGCTGATCATGTCATCGGAGAGGAAATAAGAGAGGATGAAACGACGCTTTCTGTCCTCGGGGTTCGGTGATTCCTAGAGGAAAGGTAGTGGCTTTGAAAATGAACATTTGAACCAGGTTTCTCTTTCCTGGGGTGCTTAGGAATACCTACTAACCCACTCATGAGCACTCAGAGTTCATTGTTTTGGGTTTTTTTTTTTTTATAGCTGACTAAACAAAGTGCTTGATGTAGGCCCAAAGCTACAGATACACTGACGTGGCATAACAAAGCCCTAGACAGCACTAAGCATCTGAATTTCAAAGGTTACTTGCTCTGGTTGAGCTAACAGGGGCAGAATCTGGGCTGCAGTGACCAAGTATATTCAATGTTTCCACAGGCTGAGTAATCCAAAAGAAAGGAATATCATATATGGAATGATTCATCACAGAGAGACTGGCTGTAAAATTCAGTATGAAAGTTCTATTTTTCATTGTAATGAGTGTCTGAGAAAGGCTGGTGCTGCTTCCAGCTCTTAGTCACAGGAAGACACTCCCCTGACACAGCAGTAGATTTACTTGCTTAGTTTAAAATTAAGTGGGATCTGAACTCATCAGCTGTGACCTTTAGGAACTCCTGCACAATAGGGAGAAGAAATCAGCCCTTATTCACCCTGAGTGTTTGGAGGGGGCAGGCACCAGGCAGCACAGGAAATGCCATCGCTGCTGCTGGATGTGCCAGAGGCTCCTTGCATAAACCAACTGTGAAGCTGGCACAAAGGCCAGGGCTTGAATGCTGTTGTTGTCATGAGTGGAAAGCACCGTCCCTGTGGACTCCTCAGCTTCTGTGCTGGCACTTGGCTGCTCTGCTAGCACAGCCCTTTGCTGAGCCTGGAGAAGGACAGGTGCTGGGAGCCAGCAGCAGAGCGACAGCGAGCTCACACCCGCGGCAGCGGTTGGAGGCAGGCAGAGGCACAGTGCCCAGTGGCAATGCTGTTTCAGTTGGGGCCATCTGTCACGTGCTGATGTCAGTGGGAGTTTTTCCATAAATGGCTGTGGTTTTGTAGCATGTCTGGTTTGTACTTTCTGGCCTTGTTTTGTTGGTTTTGTTGTTTTTTTTTCCTACCTTCTACTAATTGTCACAGTAAGCACAAAATAACTCAACAGCATCCCCTGAGGGGCTTGGGGAGCTCTCTTTTCCCAATAGCACAGAGGAGAATTTGCTAACAGCTTTGTCTGAGCAAGCTGTTCCTTTCATCCTTCTGAACTCTACAACATAAGCTGGCAACTATACCCTCAAGGAAAGCACTTACCAGGACCATCTGGTATCGCAGCACCTTGTGGTCATTCTCTAGCATCTTAATTACATCTTTCCGGGGAGGCTTTGGAATCAGAGAAAAGCAGTTCTGAAGAGAGTCTTCAAGGATGCCAAAACCATTATAGGGGGGAATTACCTGCATCCAGAGGAGATATCAAGTAGAAACAGCTGAAACTAAGAACAAGACAATGTTTGCAGGACAGATTATCAAAAAACATCTGTTTAGAAATAATTCTTCCATCACCAGGTGGCAATAGCTGTGACATCCTGTTCTGCAGAGATGCTACTGGACCTCTTACTCATAGAAATATTTGAGAGAATTAAGAAAAGTCAGAAAGCCAGGTAATTTCTCTGAATAAAGGGATTATGGCTGTACTAATAACTAAACCTTCCTATGCACAGGAACTCAATCATCTATATGGTTACACTGTTAACCTATTCCCCATCATGTTGGTGGTTCATGCCAGTTAGCACCCCAAACCACTCAGTTTGGGAGGTAACAAGGTCTGTGACCATCCCCAGTGGGCAGTTTGGACTTAGCAACCCTGTTTTGGAGGTTGAGGGAGAGTTTAGTAGTATAAGTGCAGCCAGACTTTGCCAGTTGGTTTCCCAGCCAAAACCAAACCCTGACACTGTTTAATTTTCTAGTATAAACATAATCAGAGTTATTTCTATCAATATTAGCAAGTGCTTTCTCCTTTACAGTATTAGAAATCACCAGTTTCAGAGGATTTTCATTCTTATAACAATTATGACCATTCTTGTCTTCTTGTCTTCTTCAAGTTACTTGCTCTTTTCTTCAAACTGAACTTGTTTACTATAGGTTCTTACTAAGCTGAACCAATACTTTACTGTAAGAGCTTATACCAACTGCTTCCTTCCCTCCCTTTCCTGTGAGAAGTTGTTTGAAGTACCTGTGGAACTTCCTCACATGGTTTCTTCTTTATTTCCACTGGCTGGAAGTCTGTGATGCCAAATTTGTCACGATAGAAGTTTCGTGTGAACTCATCACAATCGTAGATGAAGAAGGTACGTCCAAGGAGGGTGGTAGATTTCCCCACAGCAAAATCTTTAGCTGTGTACCACTCAAGTACCTCCTGATCAGAGATCTCTAGCACGCAGCTTGGGAAGGTCTCTAAAGACAAGGGAGCAAAAGGAAGAAATAAATCCATCAGGTAGATGTTAATGTTTCCTGGTGACAAGGGATACAAAGGAAGCTGTATAAATAGCTCAAGGGAACTGTTGGTACTGCTGTCCTGCCACTGTTTCCCAAAAGATAAAGAACACAATGATCATTTAAAGAACTCTTCTTTGGCCAAAAACTGATGACACTTGGGAGTGTTCTCAGCAAAAAACTCTCCAGACTCAGTGTACCTCTGACACAGCCACTACGTATGTGATTCCCCACCAAAGCACTTTAGCACAGCCAGATGTGCTGGGCAATCTACACTTACTTTTCTTGTCCACAAAGGTTTTGGGCAAGCGTTGACGTTTTATCAGTACTGGGAATGGGTCTCTACCATCATTTTGCTGATGGACTTCCCGAACCTCCACTGTGTCATCTGCCAAATAGTAATGGATGATGTAAGGCCGATTTTCACCAAAGACACTGCTGGTGTCATCCCACATGGCGTAGAAGCGAAGGACCTAGGGTGGAGAAAAAAAATAAAGAGTCAGAGAAAAACAACCATGGATTAGAATTACTAATGCTTTATCAAATGAAGTGTGTTGAAATGGGTTGGGTGATTGGAGGCATCTCAGCAATCTTCTCTGCCAGGTACAGAAGAACCAAGCCCTTGTTGTGTGGGCACTGAGATGAATGGGCTGCTGAGATAGCAGTGAGGGCAGCAGGGGCTTGAAGAGTGGGATGGGCCTGACTCACCTTGAAAGCAGCAAGTGAGAGAGAATAGTTTATGCTAAGACAAGAAATTTAGGATCAGGAAACATGGAAAAATGGGGGGGGGGGG